ATTAGGGCGATTGTAACCCCTGAGAGCTGCGCGTGGCCCAGAACAGCATCATGCCCGCTGAAGCACGAGGCTTGTCTGCACGAGTTTCTATGCCATTCTTCTTCACACCAGGTCTCTGGTTGGAGTACTTGGCCCATTACAGCAGGCTTGACTCTTCCTGACTAGATGAAACTACCGTACAGTCGGTGTTTCAGAAATGGGGCGTCCCTAGGCGAGACACTGAGTTTTAATCCAAACCATCGTTACACAACGCTCCATTTGTGACATTTCTGTATAAATTTCCCCCCCAAAAATGCAAAGCAGAGTAATGAATTAGTTGCTTTTCTTTAAAAACCTTGTCTGCCTACATCCTTAGACCGACATAGTTACAACCTACACCCCTTAAAAAAAGCAAATAATCTTTCTCTCCTTTTTTATCCCCTGATTATCCCTTGGCCAATACTTTCTGAGCAGGCCAAATATCTATAAAAACGAATTAGCCCCTTGCTGTGAGGCACTGTGAGATATTAAAAGTACTAACTAAACAAACCCGGCTTGCCAGCTAAATATATATACATACATAATTTGTTCTCATTTCACATACAATTCCAGATTTCTCTTCTAGCCACGGGGTGAAGATCTGTTATTCCTGGGCTCTTGGAGTATTCAGCGTGTCAATTTGTTTCTATTAAGTTTAGGTAGCATCACGTCTGAAAGGTCACATTTGTGTGCGAGTGGAAGATGCTACAAGACTGGAAATGGCAAACAAGTCGGGAGCGGCTCTAGTGCACGCGGCAGCAGAGCTGTTCTGCATCCAGCCCAAAAAATGATGTCGGGAAATTACCTTGGTAAGCAGGCATCATACAAACAGTTCCTACAGAAATGCAGTGGTAAGCAATACTGTTGCTTTACAGAGAAGAAAAACATGCTGGCAAATAGTTTCACATCTTGATGCTCACCTACCTGTCAGGCGCGCTGCCGAATAATACAAGCTCGCACCTGGCTGTATAAGGTGCGTTGCGTCGCCCTGCTGCGTGCGTGTGTGTTTTAATTTCTCCCACCACTTAGTACTGAAGTTGTGAAAACTTCTCTGCTCAGAGAAAGCGCACCGAGTCTCTGACATTTCCTAACGGGCTAAATTCTGCCATCATTTACCCCCGCGTACCCCTACGTCAAGTGGCCTAGTGTCTTGAGCGTTTGACTGGGACTCAGGAAACCTGCATTTTATTCCTGACCCTGCTCTAGAGCTTCAGGCTGACCTTGGGCAAGCCTCTTTCATCTCTCCAGGCCAAAGTTTCCCCACCTGTAAAATGGGCCTAATGATAGTGAACTTCTATGTCAGGCATTTTGAGACTTACAAATGAGGAGTACCGAATGAGAGCTAGACAATCTCACTTATGTGCTTTTGGGCAGCAAGTAGAGGCAGGGTTTGACCCATTGACGTAGCCCAAGCTTTTCAAAATACCATGCAAAGGAAAATTTGGAACATTTTGGCCAATCGAAGACCATTTCCAAATCAGAACAGCATTTTTTTGCGTGGGGGGGGAAATCCCAGCCCAATGCTCCTTTTCCTTACAGCACATTATTTACTCATTTTCATGATTTACTCAGTACAAATCCAAACCTTTCATTCTAATGTTGTTCAGGAGCTGTTCTTCATGCTTATGAAGGCTTGCCCCTTTTTCCATTTTTTGCCCCTCTTTCCATGTTTTGCCCCTCAACCAGAGCAGGATGTTGTTAATGAAAATGATAGAAAGCTACAATAACAAAGAGACAAATACAAGGAAACACCTGACAATTGTGGTAGGTATTTTGTAGTGATCATCAAGGAGGACTGGATGGAGGAGCACAAGAAGAAAGCGTTTTGCTCAAGGCACGGTAAATCGAAGCATCCTTAGAGCGGTATCTTAACAGCGGGGAATATTTGCATGCAGACCATCCCCCTGCTAGCTGATTAATCTAGTTAAATTAGAATTGTTAAATTCATTCTGGATGGCCTGCCCATACAAATAATCAAGAATTTAAACTGTGAGGCTAATAATCTGGGAAAAGGCCAAAATGAACAGCTTCGTTAATGAGTAATGGGTTTCACACCTTCTAGAGTGGGTAAAGCCAATGAAGACACGTGGACTTCAACCGGCAGAGGATCATGCTTGCAGATCGTCTGGGGCTACATCTCCAGCTCTGGGCACAGCGCTGCTTATACAAGCCAGCTGTTTCCTGCTGCAAGACCCACAAACGCATGATGTGCACGTGCAAACGTGACTGTCGACCCCTTCGATGCACACACAGGTAGGGACGAAAACGCATTCCGAGAAATTTGTACCCAGGACAAGCGCAAGAAACAATTTAGCTTTTAACGTGAAAGCGGGTGGTGGAAATGGAGGCTGTTTCAACCAGGTGGACTTAAACTGCTTGGGTTGAAGCAGAAACAGAAGCACATAACTTGCACATGGGGCAGCAGGGAAAGCAATGGCACGGTGCATCTGACAGACTACCGGTCTGTTAGGCATGTAAGCTTAAAGACAAACCCTTTCAAATCATGGGCGTGGGTAGTCAGAGGAGAGCCTCGAGTCTGTGGACACTGCACTATTAACATGGCTTAAACCTTGGTTAGTCTCAAGTTTGAAAGCAACCACCAAATCGCACAGCAAAGCAAAGTTAGAAACCCCTGAAGTAGAGTCTGTGATGGAAATGCCGATGCAAGGGTAACCCTGCCAATCACATATGTGCTGTTATAATGAGCCTCCCTTTTCATCATCTAATAACATTTTTTCCAAAGACACTTTTTTTTTTTAAAGCAAGCAGTAAATACACTTTTCAACCTTCAGATAATTTTATCTCTTGTTCTACAGAAACTGCTTCGAAGGTGGTTTTCTTCTCCTCTTCCTCATCTGAAGGCATCTTTTCCCTAGCTAAACAAAATTACCCGTGGGCCCTACTCCAATGAGGAAATGAAGCACATTATTTTAAAAAGGATCAAAGTTCTTGTTCTCCATGTTTCCAAGAACTAGATGGAAATCTGAAAGAATTATTGTTTCGAAGGAGAAGGTCCCTAGAAAGCTGCACAACGACAGGGGAGGAATGCCTTCTTTGCTAATGCCTTGTTAACGACCAATAAAAGTTCTTCCAGGAACGTACCTCTGTGCTAGCTGCATCTTGAGAGCATAGCAAAGAAAAAGATTTCTAGACCCTGATCTCAAAACACTGGGAAACAGACTTTCCGAAGGCTGGGAAATAGTTAAGTACCGTTTTTATGTAATCGTGCCGGGAGATCTGAAATTAAGAGGTAACAAGGCAAGCACCAACAAATGCAAAGAAGAAACTAAACAGCAGTGAATGAAGTGGCATATATTGGCTGGTTTACAAAGACAAAAACATGATAAAAGGGCATGGTTTAAAATAGGCATCCTGTGCAAGTACCGGCAATAGACCTGTACGTCTAACTGCATAAAAACAGAGGTCTCAACCTGTGATTTCCCATGACCAGGAGTCAACAGCACCAATAACCTCCCGCTGAGAAGAGGAGGAAGTACTACAAATGGCATTACTGATCTGAGCTCAAAACCTAACATTTTCATTAGCAAAAATCCCTGCTGAAAAAAAAAAAAATCTTCCAATGCTTACTCCATATTGGCAATCCCAGTCATGCTGGCTCTGCAGCGGAGCAGATATAATGATGTGATGGTGCGTGTTTACATACCCTGCATCCTCTGGGAAGATCTTGCTAGGCTCAGGAGGGCAAAACCACCCTACGTCAGGAAAGCTAGCAACTTTTACACCTGTCACTAGGGGACCCGACAGTCTAAGGCTTTTTGTGATGGATGCACTGAGAAGAAGTTGCAGGAAAAATGGGCCCAGCCTAACAAAGATCGACAAAGAGGAAAAAACTGGAAAATTACTGTTCACCATTCAGTTGCAACCTATTGCTCCCCCTGCTCTAATTTCCTCCTGTGTTCTGGCAGCAACCACCTTGACATATGCCATCGGATCAGACTCACTGTGAACAGCACTTCGATGAGATAGTTTAATGAAAAGCACTAGTCAGCACTGGTTTTGGCTCTAATGCATAATGACTTCATACTTTTCCCCTACTGCACTTGTTTCCAAGTCCCCATATGCAAAGCCTACCAGCAGAACTGAAGCCCACTTGTGGCTTCGCACTGTGTCAGGACACCTTCCCCTCGTGCCTTCTCCCCACCCGCCCAGCACCATCCTCCACAGTACTAGAGCTCCAGGAAGTCTCTCAGTGAAGTTGCAGCCTTGCAGGCAGCACAATCGTTGGGCTTCATAGTCAGGTCTGTTGTTGAACCTGCAAGTACCATCCTAAGAGAGGGCTCAAGCTAAGAGGCGTAATCTGGGAAGCTAAAGGTGTCCCACTTAAAAGGCCACTGAGGCCCACAAAGGCAGGGTTTTAACCCTGCACAAGAGGGAAGTGATGTGGTCAGCACCATGCTCCAGCCACCTTTTACCTTGTACCCACTGGATAGGAGGTGGGTGGGCGTCAGGGCCACGTTGAAAGTGGAAACAATGAGCAAACACACCTACCGCCCTCACCTGGGATCAAACGCAGGTCTTTCCAGTCCACCCTGGAAAGCCACACAGCGCCCAGTGCATAATCTGTACACACCCATATTCTTTCATCATGTTTAAAATTCACCCAGGACTCAAATTCAAACATAACAACGTGACACTTCCTCTAAACTATTAGATTTGAGATTACAACTCAAGTGACTGATTCTGTGCAGGGACCGGTTGTGAAGGCAAACATAGTATTTTTATAAAGTACACAAAAAAAATGTATGCTCTAGTCCCGTGATCCTGTGTATAAAAGTGCAATGCTAACCATGAAGTATCTTGTTTTTTGGTGTGCATTCGTCAAACCCTGCTGAGTGGAACAAGTCTACTGCGCACTCTTGGCTTTACCACATTATTTGGAGAGATGCGGTCTAGAGAGATGAACTTTCATGTTGCAACCCTTTAAGATTCTGCAAGTGCATGAAACTAAACTGCTGCATTACCTTGGAGACAGTCCGCCGTGGGAGCAGTTGGTAGGAGAGGTCAAGGGGCTGGTTCTGCTGCTGGAGTGGCGAGAAGGGGTCCGACCAATAGTATTGCTGGGAGAGCCCTGGTAGAGAAGCAGAAAAAGAAGGATTAGGCAAGTATTACACTATAAGAGAGAAGACAAAGTGGGTCTGACTTCTGCCTTCATGTACATGGGACAACCCAGAGGTTGCAGGGGGCGGAAACGCAGGATGCAACCAGTTCAGTTTGGATTCTGGCTTCTCTTGTAAGGCACCAGACACACAACCACTGATGTCAAAATGGAAATGCCAACAGCAGCAAGATTTAGCCCATTCTCATTAACAAGTGTCCACTCAAGAAGGATTTGCTGTTTCTGAATTTCAGGATCTGCCCATGAACGTGTTTTGGGCAAGCTTTGAAAAATCTGGCCCACACAGTATGGAAGCAGCTGGTTAAGGAGAGCACACCGCTCATAACATCAGCTTATCCCGCGCCTCTTCCTACCAGCCACAGAAGTCCCACGTTTAAATGCCTATTGCACATCTGTGCTCCTGTTATTAGTGTTACTCAACTTCTCTAACATAATTCTTGGCATCCCAAAGCCTTATTCTGGTGACTTTAAAATACTTCCAGTTTGCTGTTGGGATGTGCATCGTCTCAGATGTTCTTCTGATTTTCTTTACATTAGTTGGTTAAAGCCTGGTCCTCTATGGCCTTGTGGCAGCATTTTACAACACTGCCAAAGGGGTACAGGAGGCTCCTGTTCCACCTGGTTACTGCGTGACTCCCCTTGCCCCTACACACAGGTGTGAATGACTACACAACCATCCAGCCCTTCTCCCTGTGGCCTAATCCTGCAGTTGTTGCTCAGGCAAACTGTCCATTGAACCCAATGAGTGTACAAGACTGCAAGACTTGACCCCATCTGATTTATACAGGATTTCTCTATATAAGTGGGTTGTTACAGTCAGGAGAGGCTGTTGCAAAGACTATCCTGATACATGCTGAAGAGAGAAAAAGTAATTTACAGATGAACTTAAAAAAAAAATCCCTATTAATTTGTTCATTCAATAGCATTATCATCTTTAAAGCCTTCATAAAAACCAAAATACAGCATTGCTGGTTAGAGTTGGAAAGACCTTCTCGATCAAATCCAACACCCTGCAAGTTCCTGGCTGAACCACGTATGAGCTATTTCCCTCTGTTCAATAGCAGTGTTGGGCAAAGGGAGATTGTTGTTCCCATCAGCCAAATACCCAGGCTTTTGAAAAGTACCAACTGACTGAGGAGCACAAATGACTGAAATCTCTCTCTTTTAGGGCATTTATACACATACTTCTTTTGTCCCGCAACATGCCGGAGATCCGCCACTTCGGAGCGGACTCACTTAATTGAGTTGTTCCTGAATTTCAGGAACTGCCCATGAACGTGCATCGGTTAATCAAGTCTGCTCCGCACGCGAGCTGCTGCAAACTGTGCTGCAACACGTGCAGTTAAGTGGCGAAATGCGTGGCAGCGCGCAGAAAATGGCAGGGGTGCGCTTTTGAAGCAAAGCACCTTCTACGTGTCTTAGTTCAAAAGCGCACTGCTGGCATTATCTCAGCACCGAACGCATTTTGCCACTTATACAACCGCAAACTTTGCCGAGCCAGGCACTTTTTGCCGCTTATACAACCACAAACATCGCAGAGCCAGGCCGCTGCGATGCTTGCATGTGTAAAAATGCCCTTAGAGACTCCAAAGTCACGTGGGCACGAAAATCCCGCGCGGTCTCTGTATAGGCTATGCCTACATCAAACCCCAAAGGACCCAAGGGCTACTCCTAAAACAGAAGACCCCACAAATATACTGCTGCTAGAAGTGCTGCCGCTGTGCTGGGTTTTGAGATCAGAAACCACTTATCTGTGCCCATCAGCGGCAGGTGCCACTCACCACGTTGGTGTTGCTGGAGTTCTTGAGGTGGTTGTGCAGGAGCTTGGTAGCACCGTCCTGGAATGTTTTCGGCAAGGCACCAAGTAACATGGTAAACTCGGGAGTGTTCAGTTCAAAGAGGGAGATCAGGACTATTTGTGCTGCCTGGAAAGACAAAAGAAAAAGTTAAAGTATCCAGCAGTTCTTTCCCGAGAGCGATGAGAGCTACAGTCTGTTGGAAAGGAACCTTACGGTAAATGAGACACGCGTTGCTTTTCAACAGACCCGTACCAGAGGACTACTAGAGACACCTCTGTCATGTACCGCAAAGGAGCATTTGCATCGTGACGTTGAAAGCAGTTTTACATTTACACGACTTACTTTGGGCTTATGCTTCTGCCTGCACCTCAGGTGGTAACAACCTTAAAATCCCTCCTGTCCTGCAGGTTAGATCCCCTCGAGCACCGCAGAGTCAAAGAAATCCACAACAAAGCAGAGACTTCCTTCAGGTCAGATGAACTCTTAAGGTTTTGGGACTGTTGGCTTTTTTCTTTAAAAGCAAAAGGAAAATCCTCTCTCCACTCACCCGAGGGACCCACAAATCTGATACATCAGGTAGCAAGACCCTGCCTTTTCCTTTCCTTCTTTACCCGACTCCTCATCCCAAGGGCTCAGAGAGCAGCAGCCAAGGCCCCTTCGGAAAAGGTGCCGCTGTGCAAAGAGGAATCCGCTTTCCCACTAAATTAAGTGGGAATTTCAAATCCTGGACTTCACTGTGGTCAGGAGTTCAGCCCCGGTGCCTAAGCTGATTCATTTCCTGAACAAGATGGTCGAGTCCCTGGGGATATGCATGGCCCTGTGTGCTGTTATTTAATGATCCTTTTAAGGGGAATGCGTTCAACACAAGGCAGTGCGCACACAACTGCAAAAGCAAATCTCAGCCACACACCCCTTACCAGGCTTGCGCTAGCCGCATGTGTACATGAAACACTCCCGTTTTTTCTTCCCCTCCTTTGCTTGTTTTAGGGAAGCACGAAAAGACCTGGCAACTCCTGCCTTACTGCAGTCAAAGCAGAACAAGAAGCTTTAGCAGGGAAGGACCTCCACAAGGAGCTCTGCAGTAGTGTGTTCTCCAGCTAGCGTGCAGCTTTCTACCCTGCCAACCTCTAGGATATGTATGTGTGGCTTGGGCTTGCAAAAGGAGAAGACAGATTGTGTGCGCTCTGAGCAAGGGAACTATGGGCAGCCTCTGCCACGGCACCCATTTGGCTTAAAGCTCTTCTGGAAATTCCTCTGACTTCCTAAAAATGCTGGATAACTTTGAACACAGCTAAAAACCAAACAAAGACATGTTGCATTACTGCAACAGCCACTGTACACCCATGGCCCAGCCGAGTCAAAGCACAGGACGCTGTTTTTAGCAAATTATGTATTTTAAAACCTTGCCATAACTGGGAATACCCACAGCCTCTTCTGAAGTGGCATCTATTAGTGGAGAATGGACTTGGACACAGAGAGACCCTTTCTTCATTCAAGGGAATCAAAATCCTCTACTGTGTCAGCATGCAGTTGTTATTCAATCTGCTCTCTCCCCTCCCTTCCTGAGCTCAGGCCCCAGTACTAACTTTGCATTTAAACAACACTTTGCCTCTGTGGTTGTCAAAGGCTCATCATGTTAGTAGTCTCATTTTCCTAGAACAGATGAAGAAATTGAGACAGAAGAGCTGAAGGGATTTGCCCGACACTGCAAAAGAGGTGTCTGGAAGAGCCACTGAAGAGCAGCTTTCTGGTGTTCAAGCTTAACCAATAGGCACTGCTACCTCCTGCAAAAGCTCCTTCTGACGTTAATAGCTGGTAGGTAAGTCTAAGGCTCCCACAGCATGAAAGGAGGGAGGAGGAGTATTATCTTCTTCCAATACTTTCTTAAATCTTCCGACTTGAAGAAATCTCCATAGCCAGCTGAGCTACAGGGTCTGCAAAAGAGTCCATGCATCTCTGCCTGTCCTCACATACAGACTTCAGCTGCTATCAACACCCCATTTTCTAAATTGAAAATATTACCGCATGTGAAAGATCCTGCAACACAGGGTCAGTGTGTTGAACAAAGAACAGCGAGCATGCCAAAATCCATTCCCAGTCAGGAAACCATGCACTCCACATCGTGATGTTTCATTTCGTGATTAGGAAATGCGCATGCGGGTCACTACTGCAACTTGACAAGCAGATCTCAACTTCAGTGGGGTGCAAAAAATAAGAGATATAACCAGGAAGGATCCCAAAGACCTTAAAACAACCTGAGCTGGATTTGTATATGCCTCATCCTGCAGTTCTAGCTTAGGCCAGGCACCTGCTGAAATCAACTGCAGTCTGACCATTCAGTGCTATTCACTCTGAAAGTGCAATCGTCCGCAGCGCTAACGGGCCACACGGCATGAACCTTTTCCTACCGCGCTGTGGGTACAGTTTGCTCTCGGATGCAAAGAGGCAGCAAGAGCAACGCCTTAAGGTTTTCTGTGCATCAGATCTAGGCTAGGGAAAAAATCACTGATTAGAATAGATGGATGTGCCTTTATTTTTAACTGGTCTAACCATAAAGGTCACTTTCAGAGGTGATTAGGTATTTTGGAGCACCTCGAGTTTTAGGTGGCCATCCTGAGACACTTTCCAGTGTGGTCAGCCTGGGACACCCCAAGTTTAGGTGGCCATCCTGGGACACCTTCCTGTGTGGCCATCCTGGGACACCTTCCTATGTGGTCAGCCTGGGACACCCCAAGTCTAGGTGGCCATCCTGGGACACCTTCCAGTGTGGTCATCCTTGGACACCCAAAGTTTAGGTGGCCATCCTGGGACACCTTCCAGTGTGGTCATCCTTGGACACCCGAAGTTTAGGTGGCCATGCTGGGACACCCCAAGATCACTTCTCACTTTTGAAAGTCTTGGCCAAGGTCACCAAATCCGGATTATCATTAGATGACTGCACAAGCGTACAGACAAAAGGCAGCTTGAACACTGCACAGGCAATGTCTGTCATGTTGATGATACAGACCTGGAAGGAGTCTCCTCTCAGCTCTATGCCTGACACTGCAAACAGGGAGAATCTGGACATTATGGGTCATCTCCTCTTACAGGCCAAACCCCTTGCTGGGTGAAGCAGGAGCAATCCCACCAGAGTCAGGGGTTGGTTGTGGCTCACTCTCAGGACTCGATCATTTGAAAGGGATGTGTTACCTCCATCCATCCCCTGGAATTGCACCGCTGCAGTTCCCTGAGCTCTGGGCTGCCCCCAGCGTGCTCATACTCGTCCCATTGCTGAGCTGAGGAACGCCACCTACAAAGGCTCTGCCGTCCATCAGCATCACGCACTGCATGGGCATGAATACGCCCACGCCTTGTTTTTAACCAGGTGACCAGTAGCGGGCGAGCCAGGTTTGCTAAATTCCAGCAATTTGGCCAAAACAGACAGGATGTCCTTCGAAGCAATGTTTGGCAACATTCAAGTTACAGGCGATGTCAGGACAAAAAAGGGAGAATCACCGGATTTTAGGAAGGAAGTGGAGTCAGTGCCATGAGCTTATTGAGCGACTTGGACAGTCTATCCAGCTCGCTCACAGCAGGCAGTTTGACCCAGAGCACACATATTGGTCCTTTAGGTCTTCCTGCAGCTTCTTTAAGGGGTTACTTCTTAAAAAAGTAACCCAAACTGCAGGCAGGCCTATCGGGCTTCTTTAAGTAACCCCACAGTCAGCCCAGACAGAGCCAACATTGGGCCAGACCTCTTCCGGCTGCATATTTTAGACAAAAGGGTTAATCGAAAGGCACACAAAAAACAAACTATTATTTTATAGACACGCTCACACACACGCAAAGAAAGGATCACTTTTGGAGGCACGCAGCCAGTGCCTCTTTACACAGCTAGACTGCGTTAGAAATCTAAACTGCAAACAGAAAGTGTATTTTGTGATTAGTGTACACAGCTTTTCGTCTACCTGTTTACATTTCTCTTCCAAGTTTCCTTCACCGGGCCCTGAAGCGGCTGTAGTTGATCTAGCTGGCAAATCCTCACCTACCCAACTATGCATGGTCTGGGTTCAACAAATAGGAAAGGTAATATGATTTAGTTAAAGCAAGCACAAGATTTTCAACTAACAGCATTTCAAGGCAACATAAATTCCAGGTTCTTGAACAAGGCACACCTTCAATACAAGTTATTTGCTTAATGTGGAATAAATAAAAAAAAACAGTGATCTTTGAATTAACGGAAGGGGGAGATCGTGCAGGCCACAAGCTTGCTGGCTTAAGCTGAATTTGACTATGAACCTCTACATCTGCAGAGCTCTTTAAGCTTTTCTCATTTTTTTTCTGTTCTAACACTGCTTTGCACTTGCACCATGCTTTCTCTTCACAGATATATTTGGATGTTAACCGATTCATTCCTCTTACCGCTATTTTTATGCACGATTATCCCCCTCTTGCAGACAGCAGACATGATAGCGAGATATAGGGGAATTAGGGAAGAGCCTGAGAATCCCTGGCTCTCAGCCTTGCCTTCTCTCTGCTAGTCCCAGTCTCTTGCCGCGTGGATACGGCTGTGGGAATAGCTACCGCATGATAAATGGTACCTGGTGGGGGTGGGGGTGCCAATGGGTGCAGTTTTGAAGGGAATTTTCAAGTTTAAAAGGGAAAAGAAGGAAACATTTTAATAGACACTCGCCCAGAATGCTATTTTAAATGCCAGAATAAATACTGTGCAAGCTTAGGCAGTGTGCAAGTAAAGCAGCTAAATGTGTATAGTAATTTCAGCATCATCTGAATGTATCATTTATGGCATGAATTGCAACTCCACATTTAATAGATGTGTATTTTTATATATGTACTACACATATTATACTATAGACTACATGTGCACATACAAGCAGGATGTACGCACTTGTGATATACAGTGATTGCTTCCCCCTCTTAAAAGGGCCATCTTTACAGTAGCTCTCAACTGCATTTTTTGAAAAAATACTTCATTTTGCTTGCATCCTCACTTGAAGGAACAAAACCAGCTTATTTTATAAAACTTTGTTCAACCCCAAAGACCCCCAATACTAGACAGATCCATCAGACCCCAAGCTGTCCAACAAGCCTTGCAATATTCACGTCCAATGCCGCTCACGTGAGAAAACCAATTTTTCGTACAGAGCGTACACTAAAAATATTTGGGCTTGCGTCGCTCTCTGATACCAAACTGAAAACAAACAGAAACCGGTGGCTGCTATTTTGGAAACACGACTCAGGACAGTGAGATCGTTACGCTCTAATAGCATTAAGCCACATAAAACAGGAAAACCCAAAGGCCAGTTTTGACATAGTTGTTTTTTTCCTCCATTCCTGGGGATAATGTTTAAGTAGCTGAAAATGATTTCTCTTCATATTGGTTCCACCTTAATATCCTTACGAATACTGGCCCCTTAGCTGTACAATGACAGCACTATTCAAGTCCCCATGCTGCTCAGATGGAAACCCATGGCTTGACTCAACACCGGCTTGCTCTTTGCCAAGGACACACGTACTAAGTGGCTAGAGGATCACCAAATCAAAGCTCAGTCACTCTCATGGTATTTGCATTTTGCACACACAGGGTACAGGCCAGTACTCAAATCGGGCCGAATTAAACCTCCGAGAAGATCAGCTCTAAGCTCCTGCCCTTGCAAAGCACTGTAGTCCGTGCGAGCTGAGGGCACTCAGCCCTTTGCAATATCAGGCCTGTATCTGAGCTCCTTCCCGAATGCCTCTTGTAGCAGCAAATGCGATTCAAATTATTTCTGGCAACTACAAAGGGACTTCACAGTCCCAGACAGACGAAGTCAGAACGGGCACATAGGAGTTGCTCCTCTTCCTGCAGAAAGTGCACATCTGCTTATATCTTACATTTGCACACATAAAAGACGAGCACTTGAGCACCTGAAGGAACCACCCAAATTGTGCAGGGACAACGTCAGCACCTGGATTTGAACGCCTGGCTGTTAATGCTGGAAGAGCAGTGCGCAGCATCGTTTGGCACACGTAAGGTGTCACCCTTCGGAAATCCTATTTGAGCTCCGAAAGCGGCGGTAGGTCAGCTTCTTGATTTCTTGAATCGACAAAATCCTTCTCGTTCAGGGTCACTCTTGCGGCGGTGACAGGGAGAAACCTCGGCTCTTGCAGGCAAGGAAGGCCCTACCTTGTTGAGTTGAAGGAAAACGTTTTCCCCAAAAAGCCAAGACTGTCGCTAACCACAGCTCAGTTGGATGGTCAGCTGTTTCAATGCACCGAAAGTCCTCGGAGCTTCTTTTTCGGCAGAGCTTTCAATGACGTCAGAGCAGCACTCGAGCCATCCTGGCACTAGATGCATGCCATGCTTTAGTGGAGACTCATGGCTGTGCCACGAGCGGTTGCACAGCCCCTCAGGTGGTGACACTGCTACAAAGGAGTCTGTTTTCATTTCTTAGCGGGGTTTGCTCTCCTGTGCGCTGCACGGTGCAGCTGTGAAATGTGTTCTCCTTGCACAGAACATGCGACACTATTTTAACCAAACTTTTTTTCAAGGTACAGACACCCTCCGTTTTTTTAGGGAAGCCATGCCTGCATTTGTGAATACATCCCCACCTGAACTATAATCAATATTTTTTAACATTTTCAGTAAATGGGATGTGGGCACCTCTGATACCTGCTGGTCTGGTATTTTCCTTTTGAATTAGTGCTGTTTTTTCTTGGAACACCTTAGAAATGGTTCTCTTGCTTTATGACAGCCGTTCATTGTTCTCAACTTCACGTGCTGCATTTCATAAATTGGGCTCGTGTCAGATGAGCGTTCTTGTTCATTAAGTGAATCTTTAGCGTGTTTCTGGATTTCATTCTTCACAGAAGGTATTTTAGCTCCAAACGTGTTTTAACTTGCACTGATCGGTGAGTAAAAATCAATACCGGTGCTGCCACACAGTTAAGAATGAATGTAAACTTAGGCAGAAGAGAGGTAGAGATATACATTATAGGCTAACTAAATCAGAGATGCATACACTTTCCTGAGCCTGCGCTCACTCGATCAGATGTAAACTTAGGGAAGATCTTTTGTGACACATCTGTAACAGAAGTTCATTGTGGTGCAAGTCAAAGCAATACAGCTTAGCCTGGGCTTTTCCATTCTCTTTGCAATGGCTCTGTCATCTCAGCCGGGTCTCCACTTCGATCATCTGGATTTTACCTGGGTGTCAATGAGGTTGCAAGAACATGCCAGATGACACATTAGCCAAAGGCACAATACTGCAGTGTGACAGAAGAGTGTCATGCAATGTGGTTTGAGGAACAAACTCCCTCAACTGGTGTCTCAGCAGCACAAAGGGCTGGAGGATCATCTGCTTCTGTGCTGGGTTTTCTTCTTCTCTGTGAAGTCAGAGAGCTAAGCCCAAGGGACCCATGGAAGTTGCTATTAGTCTTGCTGATTCAAATCAGTGGACTTGCTCTGCCGGTGAATTTGGACTAGTAGCAAAGCAGAAGGGCAAAGGAGCACAGAGCAAGATGGGACCTCTTGCCCCACAATCACCACTTCAAACTTTCCCACGTGACTAAAAGCACAAAACCCGAAGCACTGGGAACATCCTGCACCGGGATGACTTGCAGAGGGCTGGACTAGATGACCTCCTGAGGTCCCTTCCAACCCAAATTTTCTCTGATTGTATCCTCCAACATGTTGCAGGGGAGATGGAGCCACTACTAGTGCTTGCCCTTTCCCATTGGAAGGCATTGCACTTTTTCAAATTACACACAAACACATCTTAAACAGAAAGAGCAATCTGTTCTTGCATACCTAACCACTGTCCTTCACAGGACAGCCTCACAGCCTGGTATAAATGTCTCTGCCCCTCAAAAATATGCTTCCTTAAAATGCTACCAGGTAGCAGAATTGTTGTTTTAGAAATCTAGGGTCAAAATTCTTGCAAACTGATGGAGTTGTACCAAGCCCAGGACCTTACAGCAAAATAAACTCCCCCCACCCGGCTACACAGGGCTCAGTCTTGCAGTCTAAATTCAATGGGAGCTTTGCCTGAGATGAGGCTGCATGGCAGAGCAACTCCAGCCTCATCTCAGGCAAAGTAAATCCTGGTAAATCAGGAAATATCAGCAATTTCATGCTAATGCACATGACTATTGGGGACTTAATGCCCTGATAACTGCAGGCACTCTGCTACTTTTCTTGTCTGGTGGTGGCAATGCCAATAATCATAGCAGCAGCTGGCTCTCACGTAGTACTTGCCAGCAGTAATCTCAGGGCACTTAGAAAAGTCAGCATCATTAATGCCATTCTACAGTTGAAAAATCCAAGGCAGAAAGAGGTTAATTGACTCACCCAAGGTCATCCAGCTGGCTAGTAGCAAAGACGGAAACAGGGCCCAAGTCTACCCACTAGGTCACGCCATATCTGAACAGAATTATCCTTGGCCACGATCCTTAGTAATGCAGAAAGTAACACACCCATGAACCCATGAGCCCTCAGATGCTCACGTTCAGCTCCATTTCATTTGAAGCCAAAACGTGACCTGTGCTCCATGTGCCCCCAGGGGTTGGTATTGGCCCAGTGCTGTCCAACATCTTCAATGACCTGGATGAGGGGGTGAAAAGCCCACTGGCCAAGTTCGCGGACAACACCAAGATATGGGGTTGTGCGGACACACCGGCACGTGGGCTGCAGATACAAGCAGACCTAGCCAGGCTGGCATGTCGGGCAGGACAGAACCAGATGAGGTTCAACGTAGAGAAATGCAAAGTGCTGCATCTGGGAAGGAAGACCCCCCCACCCCAGCACACCTACAGGACATTGCTAACCTGACCAGCACTACAAATGAAAGGGATCTGGGGGTCACAATAGGCCCCAGCATGAATATGAGCCAGCAATGTGATGTAGTAGCCGCTAGGGCAGAGGTGGGCAAAATGCGGCCTGGGGGCTGGACACAGCCCGCCAGACCAGTCTATCCGGCCTGTGGGGCCCCTAAAAAATTTAGAAAATTAATATTAATCTGCCCTGAGCTGCCTGTCATGCGGCCCTCGATGGCCTGCCGAAACTCAGTAAGTGGCTCTCTGCCCAAAATAATTGCCCGTCTCTGCGCTAGGGCCAATAAAACTCTGGCATGCATCAATCGATGCATCTCCAGTAAATCCAAAGAAGTGATTCTCCCGCTTTACTCAACGTTGGTGTGGCCACAGCTGGAGCACTGCATCCAGTTTTGGGCCCCGCGCTTCAACATGGACATGCTGAAGCTCGAGAGGGTCCAGAGGAGGACCACCCGTATGACCAGGGACTTGCATGGCAAGCCATACGAGGAAAGGCTGAGGGATCTCGGACTCTTCAGCCGAAAGAAAAGAAGGCTGAGAGGGGACCTGATTGCAGCTTACTGCTAGATCAGAGGTGTACATCAAGGGCTCGGTGAACAACTGTTCACCAGGGCGCCCTGGGGGAAAACTAGAAACAACGGCCACAAACTCCTGGGAGATAGTTTCAGGCTGAACATTAGGAAAAACTTCTTTACAACTAGGGTGTCCAGACTATGGAACGACCTCCCCCGGAGGTGGTGCAATCATCTACCCTAGAGGTCTTCAAGAGAAGACGGGGCGGTCACCTGGCTGGGGTCGCCCGACCCCAGATGTCTTTCCTGCTCGTGCAGGGGGCTGGACCCAATGATCCTTTGGGGTCTCTTCCAGCCCTATGAGTCTCTGTACTTGCTCTACACAACACAGCACGAATTGTTTCTGCACTCCTTGCTTTTGCTCGGCACAGATCAAATTGCCTTTCACCCCTTTCTGTGACCGTCTTCCAGGAAGTCAAGTCCAGCTCGTAACACAGCAGAGCAAATACTCTTTAGTGTTAACAGTCTTGTTTCTGTTGCAACAAGGAAAACTATTTACTCTCCGGACTGGGGATATCTTTGCAATTCACCGTACCTTAAAGATAAAACCCGAGGATAGTTTAGACTATGAACAATTTACTGCCACCATCAATAGCTTTTCGATGTTTATTGAATACAAGTTTAATCCCATTTCACCCTGAGGTGGAATCGTGACCCTTTGGAAAATGCTGCTTGCTAAGATCACAGCCAATTAAGGCAAGAGGGAGACCGTGCGACTGCGCCCAAATACAAACCGGCTCTGGACACAGCAGGGCGTTTGCTGAGGCTAAGCAATATTGGCAGTTTCACCGATTGTAAAACATGGTATTTACCCAAAATAAGATGTACGATAGGTAAAGCATGATATCACACGGACTTGACAAACCATTACAAAGACTAGCAATGGCCTCACAATGCTAAACGACTGCTTCAGGTAGGACGCACCTGATATATGATGGCTGGAAAAGCTTTCTGGGGTTCATACTATCCATTGAGTGGCATCTAACAGAAGGTAATGCAGCTTTCTCCAGCGCCCACAAAATAAGCCTGTGCTACTACACTACGAATAACAATGACAATAACAGAAAGATGCTCATTTTCTTTATTGATTATCAGCTTAATCCCTCTTAAGAACAGGCTCCTTCAATTATTATCAATATTAATTATCTGTAAGACAGTAGCACCCATTAGTTGCTGCCAATCTGGTTCGGGGCCACATCATGCCAGGTACTGCATGGGATCTGGCAGGAAACAGCCCCTGCCCTGGAGCACATCCTAGCTGAGGTCATGTCTACCCTTGGGGCTGACATTTGTGTCCCACTGCAGACCGGCAGCGTGCGTGGACCGCAGTTGCGGAAACCAGGAATTTTCCGTGATGAGTAGAAGCCGTTGTTATATGATTGCCATTATAAGGCAGGGGCTGGCAATGTCTGATCTGGCCTGCAGTGGACTCCCTTTCCCTGCAGCCCCTGCCCACGTTGCTGCGGCTGCACTGGGACAGCGCAGGGACAGGGTTACCATGGAGACTGGCCCCAGCAGTGCTGGCAGGGTGGAGAGCTGTCCAGGGGCTGGGATCTTGTGGCGGTGGCTGCGTGGTCTAAAGCCGGGGCAGAACCGCGATCTGCAGCCTGCACGCCCCACACTGTGGCTCTGTCCCAGCTCTGGACCATGTTGCCACCACAGCAAGATCCCAGCCCCAGCCCCGGAGCAGCTCCCTGCCCAGCCAGCACTGCTGGGGCTAGTTTTCATGGAAACCCCAGCCCTGCACTGTCAGGGTGATGCCGTGGTGAGGTCTCCATGGAAACCAGCCCCAGTGGTGCAGGCAGGGGCTGCTGGGAAATGAAGTTCGGCCACCAGCTGGATCCACCGTTTTGCCCACCCCTGTTATGGGGGCAATGTGAGCTCAAATGATGGCTTCGGCCCAGCTGCTGCTGGACAAGCAACCACCTGGCTTATACCCAGTGCAGACTTTCTTCACAGTCTCATGACTTTGTTGCTGGAACCTGAACTCTCCCCTTCGCTCTTATAAGGTGTCCCGCCAGAACGGGAAGAGCTGCGTATATCTAGCATCGGTTCTGCAGAGAGACAAACCCCGGCCCCAGACCTATCCAGCTAAAGTCTTTCACAAGCACTCAAACTTACCGGGAACCTCATCCCTTAGAAATAAAATTAATCTCGATACAAAAATTTGGTAATGGTCTCTCCGCACTACATTAGCCATTCTTCTCAGCAAGTTTTGCCTGTTTAAATGGGCTCATCATCGTCCACTTCATTATTGTGCAATGAATAAAAATCCCTTTGGCTGCAGCCTTCCCAGAGATAATGGCTGATGGTCCCATATTAGTCCTTGCTGCCGATAATCATGTTGCATCCAAGACCTGCAGTCTGCACTACGCTTCTAAATCCCAACTCTAGGCATTATTGGGTTAATTATACCATTGTACGGCCTCTCTCCTGCTGACAAGTGGAAGTACAGATCACACGGGTCATCTGCTCAATAATTAATGTTTTTCTTTAAATGGGTTATATTGTGCCTGAAACCTACAGGCAAAGCTTTTAGAGCCAAGTGCCACAGCCACACGTAGCTTTACTAAAAAGCGATTAGAGTCAGTAATCTCAGACCAGCCTCCAAGGCAGCACGGCGATTAGCAGAGTATTGGCCAGGCAGAGTTAGCTAGCAGCTTGCAGAGACCTTGGCAAGTGCCTAAAACAGATGAAGCTGTGGCCGTCGCATTCGGAATGAGCGTTTACTCCAAAAATACTAGGGCTGCATAGGCGAGTGTGTTGGAGTACAGCTGTCCTTGTGCATCCAAATTTTCAGCTGTTGCACACAAAGTCCTCATTCAGTTTTGCATGCAGTGAGTATGACCCCTAATGGCAGAAACATGTCTTCACCTGTGCACGCCCCAGAGATTTGCTTTTTAAATTGTGATTTTGGTTGACACACAGAACTACAGCTGGGCTCAGCTGCTAAGAATTCATTCCCGTGCTCCTCTCTCCTGCCATCAAGCAGTAAATTAATCAATCAGACTAAGCCTTTTCAGGGTGGGGGTCAACCGATACCTACAGAAGAAGCGTGTGCATTCATTTGTCGCTAGTTAATTCCTTCTGATTTCCTTGTAAATAGAGGTGCAAAAATGGAAAGGCAAATCCCAGATATATTTGAATCTATGTCCGTATTTTAAAAAAGCTGCCCTTCTTTCAAGTAGAGACAGACAGGCTGAAGCAAAATGTCAACTCTGGCTACCATGAATTATCACTGAGGAAGAGTTGCAGAGAGCAGATAAAAAACGTTTTTCTAGGTTGGAACGAGTTGTGTCAGAAAGATCCATGCATCTTTGGTCCTTTTTGATACCCCATGACCTTTTTATTTATATATGTGTATCAGTTATGTTCAACTGATACCTATATATAAATACGCATCAGAGAACTTGCATTCATTGTCCTTTGGGGCTTTAACAGAGAATTTGCAATTTTTAAACAGAGAACACCAGGATCCCTGATCATCGACACCTGTTTACAGAAAAATGATCGATTTGCAAATGCTTTCAACCTTCTTTTAAACTTAGTTACATAGTGCTGAAAAAATGATTTTGATGTTAATTCAACACATGAAATTCTTAGGCAATGAAGGACTACACAAAGTTACATCTTCCGCTGATCTGTTTAATAGTTTTTGCTCACATCTTTTGAACCAAAAAAAATCTAAGACCATAGTGCCGACACCAAAGATCCATTCCTGAGAGAGAAACACCCTAAATCTGTCTTGACTAAGTAAAGCGGAGGCGTTTAAGCTGGGTTTCGCCAATGTAGGCTAGCCAAAGCCAACTCAACCTTGAACTTCTTCCTCGTGCAGCTGAAGACAAGCACCCTCACCTCAATTTTAGCTTGTCTGTCATTCTGCATCTACAAATGGGAAAAGGATCAATTTAGCTCAAGTTGGCTAAGCCTGACAGGTTTTCTGAGTCAAGACAGACCCACTGATTTTAACAGTAGCTGACAGGCCTCCACGGCTTACTGATTTTCCTAAATATCATGTCAAAGATCCTGATGGATTTCATTTTGAGCGTGATGTCTGAAAAGTACAGGTCCTTAGCTAAAAAGTGCAATCCATAGTTGTCACAGAAGGCCTATTAAAATACAGACCTGTTTAACTTACTTTCATTTTGCACTGCAATGGTGGTTAATTTGCTCACACCTCCCTGCTCTATGAGAGGAAAATGTGGAAAGAGGTGTTCCAAAAACACTTATATAATGAATATGCTCAGGTAATCAAATATTCTTTTCTTATCACAATAGTTGCACCACAGAGAACATTTGTAAAATACTTTGAAGTTATTTGTATCAATAAAAAAAAAAAAAAAAAAGCCTTTAAATAGTTTTCAGAGCTGTACATGCTTTGGTTGTCTTTCAGGTTCATTTAATTGCCTTTAAGAAGCAAAGCAGTCTCTCCTGCAAGAACTTAATCCCTATGACTTACCTTTCTCACGTCTGAGCTCTTTGGTTCTGTTGTCCAAGTTATAATTCGCGATACAGCAAGTCTGGTCTCACTGGAGTTCACGAAGTCTGTTGGGTCCATCTGTCTGGCCAAGGACTCGATATACTTCAGGATTGCAACTTTTACCTAAGAAAGGCAAAGAGGTACATCAGCCGTCATCGGCAAGATGGCAGAAGATGGAACCGTCCTGTGCCAGACAGATTCCACGGCATTAAACGCGAAAGCTCATCTCTACTCTACATGGATCATTATTAAAAAGAAGTATGAATTAGATCCCACATCTCACTGAACAGGCCCAAATCAGCATTCTGCCTGTTTGTGACTAATGGAGACAAAGCGGCCCCCAGGACATCCATTAGAAAAGTACCAAGACCTAGGACAGTCATAAGGATGAAAGCTAAATAGTTCTGTATAAAGTACTACAAAGAGCCCGCAGAACTTGATAGAGGAACCTTGCTATATGTGTTTTTGAAC